GGGACTTGGCTCTGTACACTAAAGAACTAGCGATTGATTGCTTATTAGCTCACTGGTCGAACATCTATTTTGTGATTGTATTGGGTTGTTGGAAAAGTCATGACGTATTTTTTTCTATGTTTTTCGTTGCAAAAATGCATCATGACTTTTCCGACAACCCAATATTTACCCTTCTCATCTGCCCAACTAGATTGGAAACTACTGGAGAACCAGAACCAGCTGTTTTTTTTTTTTTGTGTGTGTGTGGGGGTGGGTAGGCACCCCTAAGGGCTGATGCAGGGTTGAAGCATTAGAGTAATTTTTGACTCTCTGACTGGGATGGGATGATTCTTGGAGACATAACAGAAAGGATACACAATAAAAATGTGCTGGCAGACTGGTGTGGGTATGTAGAATGCACTGTTATGTTTTAGTTAATAGTGCTGGCCTGGATCACACCAATGTTGTCCAGGAAAGCAGGGAAGGAGGCGCAGGCTGGCTCCCTTCTGCCACCTCCTGGCTCTGTGCCCATGTCCTTGCTGCTCACCGTGGTGACCAGCTGCTCCCGGTGTTCTGCCTTCCCCACGTGGCACACGATGCCTGTCACACTCAGTCCCTCCCCCTGTAGCGCTGCCACAGCACGGTCCACGTTCTGCTGCTTCCGGCTGCTGACCACTACGTGGGCCCCGTCTTGGGCCAGACGCCTGGCGATGGCGAAACCGATCCTGTGGGCAGAGAGAGATAAGGACTGTCAGGCCAGTACAGTGAAGAGGTTGAGAGCATGGGCTAAGGAGTCAGGCTGCCTGGGTTTGAATTCTAGCTCTCATTCCATATGACATTCATGTGTCTGTATTATGTGTAAAATAGAGCTAATGGCACAGCCATTACCATACAGATGGACACGCTTAGCACGTTTTGGGTACCCATTTACTTATGTTTTTTATGGTTTTGGCCCTCAGAGTAGGTTCCCAGGAAGTGATATTACCTTCCACAGGCCTTACGACGGGTGACAGGCCCCATACCCAATAGGGCCTGAGGGAAGAGAAATGAGCTACGGGTATAGCAGCAGCCACTTCCATGATTGGAAGGTCTCACTCAAAACAGCCCCTGCCTCCAAATATCTTCCTTACTAGTCTATATCATTTCAAAATTCTATCTTTAGTTATGTTTTGGGGTGCATATGAAAGGATGGGTCTCTGGTTAAAAATGTAAATTTTTTACATACATTACTTCCCTGAGAGTAAGGGTTACACATTTTGCAACTGTTAGCTATTAGCGTTTTGAGTATATTTGTGTTTTAGATTTGTGTAGAGCTGGCATCTAGCAAAGTCCTGTGGGAATGAGAAGCAGTATAGACAACAGTGGTGGTTGAGAAGCAGGCTGGGCAAAGGAGGCCAAAATGCACTGAACTAAACAAAAATCTGGATAAATGAGCCTTGTGTCCCCTCTAGGTAAGGAGTGAGGCTCTGGGAGACTTGTCAGGGTGCCCAAATGGGGTGTCTGGAACATTTCCACAGTCGTTGGAGGCAGTGAGATAGGATTTTTGAAATCTGGACTGTCTTCTTAGATTCCTGGTGTCTGCTGGTCTTCCTAGACTCCAAGTGGGGCAGGTTGATTGGGGCAACCTAGAGCACTGGGAGACCGGATTGATGGGGGGCAGCACTGAGGTGGCACAGTTGAGCCAGAGGCAGCAGTGACAGAACACTCACTGGCAAGGGGATGCAGGCCGACCACGTGGTTCCTTTCTTCGGGGTCTTTGGCAGCGTGTGGGGCCTCAGGACATGGTCCAGGAGGCAAAGGGCAAGCTGTGAGTACCTATTTCCGGAGAGCTGAGGTCTCAAGGACGCCCGCTGGGGTACTCACCCATCGGTGGAGGCCGTTACTAGGGCCACCTTATTCGCGAGCGGGGCCCGGCGCGCCATCCCGGAGCTGGCCATTCGCACCAACTTCCACGACCGGATACAGCCGCCCAACAACAATCCCACCTTCTGCATGGCGCCACCACAGGGGAAGTGACGGTAGGGCGGGGACCGGCCGAATCCCGCCCCGCTCCCAACTCAGGGCCCGCCCTTGGGCTGCACCCCTCCTCCCGTTGAGCGTCGGCCCCTAGCGCTGGGAGCAGCTGTGGCTGCCGGCGCCCCCTCCCGGCTCCTGGCCGCCACGCCCCGAAGTCCTCTGCTCTGTCCTGGCCGTTGTGGGACAGGACTGTCAGTACAAGTTTCCTGTTTGGCCCGCGCCCCTGCAGGAACCCGCAGACTTCTCCGCACCCTCCTTCCACATTTTCTTGCCCATGTCATTTTTTTGGGGGGCCGGGGGGTTGTAGAGGGAGCTTTGAGTTGTTTGCTTTTGCTTCCCAGAACCTCAAGATGGACCCCCTTCTCCGAGAAAGTCTGGGTTCACATATGTGACAGCCCATGGGAGGGCAAATGTTTTGAGATTGCCCATGGACGTGTGGTCTCCGCGGAGTCACCGTATGGGCGTCCCAGGTGAGGGGGGAGGAGCCTGGGATAGAGACGTGATGCGGAGCAGCCGGGCTAAGCCTGACACTGCCCTTCACCCTTGCTCAAGGTCTTCTCTGTCCTGACAGGCCTGGAAGGCAGACTCTGATCACTGTGGTAACCAGTGTGCGGGGATAAAAATCCTGGCTGGACAGGACCTTTTATACACTCCACCCTAAGAGCACTTCCCCATTGTACAGGGCCTAAGTGGTAGCAAGGAGGCTGGAGGGTCCCCCAACAAATACTACACCGAACTCAGGAGCACTCACTTTTCCACAATCACCACATCCCCAGGTCTTAGCCTCCACCCTAGTTCAATAAATATTTGTTGAATGTAAAAGCACTTTATAAACTGTAAGTTACTAAACACATAGTAATTATTGCCAGCATAAAGTAATTATTATTGCTGCCACAGGCTAGACTCTTGTTTTTTTATTATTCTATTACATTTATTTAATAGTGTGTTCCCACACATGGCTTTTTAAATAATCCAAGCAGGGGAAGAAAGGAGAGACCGACACATTTAGAGCTCCTTTCCCCCAATACATAAGTATTTACATTTCAGCAACTGGACAATCCTGGCTCAGAAGGAGGCAGCAAGAATCCAAAAAAGATAGGGGAAGCCCCAGAAGAACAAACAAGACTTGTTTCCTCTACCCCGTTCCCCCCCAAATCACCCCCTTCCCACCCTAGTGGACTTAAGTGGTATCCATCTCTCATTCCTTCCCAAATTATGGAAGTAGGGCTCCTACCAGAATAAGAGCACTTAGAATAACACAGTAGGGTCCCCTCACCAAAAAAATTAAATTTAATTTAAAAAAAAATCTTTTTTTTCTTTCTTTTTTTAAGCTGAGCCATCCTGCCAACTGTTAGCAGCTCAGCAGCAGCTCAGCTTGGGCCAGGAATTGAACTGCTGTTGCTCAGAGCTCGAACTCTTCAGCGAGCTCTTAACCAACTGAGCCACTCGGCTGGCCCCCCCAAAAATCTTTTTAAGCTCTGGGATAACAATAGGGCATTATGTCGCTCAGAGTAAGCAACCTTGGGCTGAGGTAGGCAAGCAGCTTGACTGAATATGGGACCCTAGGCTAGAGGAAAGGGTCCCTTTATTAAAATAAAAGTTGCGGGGCCGGCCGAGTGGCGCGATGGTTAAGAACTCGCTTGGGATGCCAGAGGGCCCTGGTTTGGATCCCACATATGAGGGCCAGTGACACTGCCCTCCACAGCTAAGATGCTGAACAACGGCTCAACCTGGAGCTGGGCTGCCATGGGTCGCCGGCGACGGCGTAGGCTGCACTCCCTGCTGCAGTGGGTTGCCATGGGCTACCGTGTGTAGCCAGCAGCCAGCGTGAGCGGCCAGCAGCCGCAGTGAGCGGCCGTCCAGAAGCCGGCGACTGATCTGCCTCGCCCGGGAGGAGCGCAGTGATGGTGCCAACTTGGGCCAGTGGGGCGACGTCCTCCACAACTAGACTGAAGAACAAGACGACATCAACTTGCCTGTTCCCCTTCCCCCAATTCCCTAGCACTGTTCCCATCCCCCCAATTCCCCAATAAAAATCTTAATAAATAAATAAATAAATAAATAAAAGTTGCTGGGGTATTGAAGGAAAGCACCCGTTCCCAAGTTAGAGAGCATCTGAACTAATTTTGTGTGGTGGAAGCAGGAGGTGCCCATGTAAGGGTTGTAACAAATCAGAATAAGAGTCCTGGAACTCAGAAGGGAAGTAACTTCAACCAAGTAAACATTGTCAGCAAAATGAGAAACAAGTTCTCCCTCCAGATAAGAAACTGTAAATTCTGGGAGAGCTCCTTAGCAGAATTGGGATGGGGACTGGGCAGACTTGATTCATGTCTTCTGACACCTGATCCCCAATCTCTGACCCTAGTAACACTGGATTTTTGATGGCCTGTAAAACCAGGTCAACAGATGTTCTTCTGTTCCTTTGGCATGGTCATGGGATGGCCATCCCAACTAGGGCAACAGGGACCAGGCCAAAGGGGTGGGACCCCCTTTAGAGGTGCTGGGGGGTTCATCTTCGGCTGGTGCCTGCATCCAGTGGTCCAACCGGATCTCCTTCAGTGAGGATCAGGGAGAGGGTTTGGGGGCCAGGCACCTGCGGATTAGGGCACAACAGTCGGGGGATACATGGGCAGGGCAGTGAAGCTCAGCCTGCAGAATCTCCTGGTTCCTCTCGAAGGGAATGTCCCCACATAGCATGTCATAGAGAAGGATACCCAGTGATCAGGCAGTGGCTGGGAGTGCATGGTACCGGTGACGAGAGATCCACTCCGGGGCCTGTAAACCCTTGTCCCATCAAAGTCAGTGTAGGGTTTATCGTGAAGCAGGGCACCAGAACCAAAATCAGTGAGCTTGATATAGTCCTGGCAGAGGTCTATCAGGATGTTCTCATCCTTGATGTCGCAAATGGCTGCCACTACCTGGGCAAAGAGGCAGTGGTTTTGGACTTCATTCAATGGACCCTGCTCTGCAATGTAGTCAAACCAGTGAAACAGGCAGATCACACCAAGGTGTACACCACTTGCACCTGCCTTCCATAACAGTTGCATTTCCAGTAAGCATGGAAAGTCTGACACAACAAGCCAGCCCAACATGCAATTCTGAGGGATCATTTTGATGGTCACCTGGAGTCGGTCTGTGATGCAACATCTTGTGAAGACCATGACAAAGCCCCCCTTACCCAGGAGGGGGCCACGTCTGTATTGGGTCTCAAATGCTTCCTGATCCTTGCCTCCTGGCCATAGCATGGGAGTCACGGGGGTCACAGCGAGTCGCTGAAGAAGCTTGCTCAACATGGAGGAGGCACTGTGCAGATTGAGCCTGCTGAGCCCACAGGGTGTGGACGCCTGGGGCAGTGAGGCCGGGCAGCCAGGACTAGGAGGCACCAGGATGGAAGACAGGGAAGCTGGTGGTCCAGAAGCACCCTTGAATGGTGCACTGCTAAGACTTGCCAAGCGTGCCAGCCCCAAAGCTACTGAACAGGCTACACTCTATCTGTAAATTGAGGATGCTGGAGTAGATGATGAATAAAGTCTTCTCCAGCTATAATTTCTGTGTCCAAGACTTCAGCCCCTACTTCTGCCACATGGGTTGAAATGATCTCCCTTCTGGGTTTCTGGAAGAATTAATAAATCTGTGTGGCTTGTGGTACACTGCTGAAAGGCCTTGATAGACCTAAGTTCCAGTGTCTGAATTGGTTTAACCCTGTGGCCTCCAAATGTCAGACTGAGAAATAATGCTGATCCATGGCAAAGTTTTTCAGTAGTTCAAGGCAAAATGAGGGTGAAAAAAAAATCTATATCTATATCTGTATCTACTTCTAGATATAGATAGAGATATATAGTGAGTTTCATAAAGTTAAGCTTATTTAACTTAACAGATACTCTTATTCTGGGATAGGCATCTGCTGCTTTTTTTTTTCTCTTCTTCCTCTTCTTGGTGTTAGTCTTTTCGTTAAGATGATAAAAGCAGATGGATAGCTTGAAAAAAGTGTTCTTAGTTGGTAAAATAACCAGTTTGGTAACCCTACGTCAGTCCCTACAATTAGAGGAGAGAGAAACTAGTCTGTGAAATTCAGTTTGGAGGATCGCTATTTAATAGAATTCATACTTACTAAAGGTTCATTTAGTATATGTGTAGGTCAGCTGATCAGCTAAAAAAGGATTTCAGCATTCAAAAGGGGGGTGTATGGCAGCAAGTGATGTAACAGTATACATTGGACTTAGAGTATATTCCTCAGCCGAGAAGTTACAGCTGTGGTACTAAGCTTTGGTACTCAGCACATCCTGATGAGATAAGAGAGCTTAAGTCTAATTTTCCCCATATCTGGGGAAAACTGATTCCCTGACTGGTGCCCCTCAGTCTGAACCTCATGAATTATTGACAACAGACACTGCTCTTCCTTCTCTCCTCTTCAGAGCTAATGCACTGTGGGAACCCTTCCCAGCACTCTCCACCTCTGCATGGGGCTGGGGGGAGGGTGTGTAGGAGGACTGAAGTAGGGGTTCTCAAAGCTTTTGGTTCAAAGGGCCAGGCCAGGCCTGAAGGGTGAGTTTGATCTCTCTTCATCTCCTGCTCAGAGGTGGGCAACCAGATCCAGGTGCTGAGGTTGGGGGTGGGAGGGGTGTGTGGGGGGTGGTGGTGAGAGAGACTACACCTCAAAAAGCAAAGGGTTCTGGAGAAAGAGAATTGTGTCCTGGGAGCTCCGTGATCATTGTTCCCTCCTCATCTGGGCAGGGTAGATATTGGCCCCTAGCATCATTTCTTTTGGGAGAGCAGAGGGGACATTTGGCGGGGGGATGGGGAGAAGGTATCCATGAACAGAAAAGGGCAGAGGGAAGGCAAGAAGTGTGGGAGTCTCTGGTTCCTACTCCATATCAAGCTGGTTTGCTGGAGAGGGGGGTAGGAAATCTTTGGGGAAAATAATAGTTTATGTAGGAGTCCCTTTGAAATGGGAACTTTAATATGCAGTGGGATTGCT